TGAGGCAATAGTTCGAAGTTGCCTCAGTGCTCTTAACAAGAGACTCAAAATAAATATTGTGTTGTATCTGACCTGAAAACAAAGACAACCAGAGAAAAGTTATTTATCAGGAAGGAAATAAATACTGCCAAAATCATGAGCAACAGCACATGGTATGTATGATTCTCATCCCTAAATATATTGAAAACCAAATATGTTGTCGTGGGTCACCTAATGATTGTTTCATGGACAGTAGGAAAAAAAGAATACATACATCCATTTCCTCTTACCCCTGCAACCCCAGACAGCACCTAGTTGGCATGGTACTTAATCAATATAGAGCTGGAAGGGACCTTGGAGGTCTTCTAGTCCAGGCCCCCTGCTCAAGCAGGAGACCCTATAACAGTGTTTCTCAACCTTGGCAACTTGAAGATGTCCGGGACTTCAACTCCCAGAATTCCCCAGCCAGCGAATGCTGGGGAATTCTGGGAGTTGAAGTCCGGACATCTTCAAGTTGCCAAGGTTGAGAAACACNAAAAATAATAAAAAAAATCTGTCGGGGGAAAAAATATAAATAATAAAAAATATTATTTCTAATCTTAAAATTTAGGAATGTTAATGATATAAATAACAATCTTCATTAACTTAATTTTAGTTTTACATACAACAGTCCTGATTCTGCATCAAAATGTATTTCATTTATAAAAATATAAATGAATTCAATTTTTCTAAAGATATGCATCTTCCTCTGAGAATCAGAAAATATAGACACACTGTAGGAAAGGATACCAGTACCACCCTCATGCTGACTTTGTGCCAGGGAAAGGAGGACTTTTTAAAAATATGTCTAAGGTGACTTTTTTAGACTTTACAAGCCAATACCAAGTTCAGTCTCAGAAAATGAATTTTTGTGTGGCCAAAGAAGTCGGATCTGCATATGAGAGAGATATTTATGTAGTTAGTTTATTAGAAAATGTATAAGGTGATTCTGGGTAAATTATAGCAACAAAAACCCCAAAACCAAACCTAACAAACACCCAGCCTTTGGCAACAACAGTCAGGTTTGCTAGCAAATTACAAGCCAGGAGGAATCCCATGGTTGCAAATTTGTAATAAATAAATATCAAAGAAAAATTTAAGGAAAGAGACTACAAAATCAGCATAATGAAGAGTCTGAACAATGTGAACAAAATGATGGTTCTAATGGAAAGTTTGGCAAAACATGAGACAGGCGTGGAAATAATGAGCATATGAAAAAGTTTAATAAATAAATGAAATAAGTTGATCGCAATGTCTCGGTTCCAAAGTCTTGCTGAATCTGTATCCATTCAAATGTACTTGAAAATGTTTTTGAATATTTTGTTGTTGTTTTTGGCCTTCAGAAAGAAACTAGTTCAGGGGAGTTTTCAGCAAACAGAAGTGAAGAACATGAGCAGAGATACAAATCATACAAGGATGAAGAATCAGATAAGGAGAAGAGAAGACGGCACAGGGAGAGGAAAAAGCACAGATCCTTTGCAGTGGAAGAAAAGGAGAAACCTTTGAAATTAAGAAATTCCATGTCTTCTACAGAGGGGGAAGAAGATCATACACCTAAGAGACATAGAGAGAGATCCCACCACCGCGAGGACAGATATCACAAAGAGAACAGGAAAAAAAGAGAGGAAGAGGAGAGTGAAAAAAAGAAGAGAGACCACAAGGTTTACTTATTATTAGGATTACTTGCTAGTTTTTACTGAACGGGGCTTTAAAATAACAGGATAAAAATAATAAGGAAAGAAATACCCCATAATACAGAATTTTATAAGTTAATGCCATTTTGTACTGTTTTTCTTATTTACAGCATAGAGAACACAGGAATGAAAGGAAAAGGGATGAAGAGGACTTACATTATCCACGTGAAAGGCATGTAAGCTGTTTAAATATCAGAGGTGCTCTGGCTGAAAATGGTGTGTCCTTCCTATGAAGTAAAGTCCACTGAACAGCCAAACTTATTTCCCAATAAGAGCCCTTAGAATTGTGCAACTTGAATTTTTATTTCCCAATTTCCTTTGCTTTCCAAAGTCTTTCCAAGAATATTCAAAGGCAGGCATTTCAGTACAACATGGGCATTTTAGTGGGTTCTATCTTATTTTGGTTGATGATCCATAAAGTGAAAGATCCTAAAAAAATTATTATGGTGGTTGCTTAATTGATCAGATGTTTAGACTGGATTTGGTATTTTTATCTACCTATCAAGTCCTTCTCAAGGACTTGAGATAAGATTTTGCAATTTAATTGTCAGCGTTCCAAATATCATCCAAAATTAAATCAGAGTCAAAGGCAAAGTATTGCTCTTAAGTTCCAATTTATTAAGAGAGGCATGTTGGCACATCTATGGAAAACCCGAACCTGAAAGCTTCCTGGGTTTTCTACCCAGTTGAAAGTTCATGATCTTGCCCCCCACCCACAAGTCCATCACATGGTCCAATCTTCCACTGACATGCTGACAATTCCACCTATCCAGTTCCAGATCTAGAGCTATCAGATGATGAAAGCCTGGTCCAGGATAAAGTTCCCTTCTCAGGCCTCTTCAGGCCGGCCTGATTTAAATCCTTACTTTATAAGGCCAAGGCCACCTCCAATTTGGGGGGAGCAACCACCCAAGCGAGCACCGAAGTGGGTCTTGACCCCACAAAACGCTTGTTTGCCGAACAAGTGCAAGAGCAGGAGGCTATTCCATCGCCCAAATTGTTTTTGGACGTGATCCAAAAACAATGGTCCCAGCCCACCGCAGTCACAACAGTGACAGGAAGCTTTACGCTTCCACACCGGAATTAGTCACCATCCTACAGTTTCCTACTGTCGATCCTCCGATAGTGGCTTTGGCTTCCCCAGCTCTCATTCCATCCAAAATCTCGGAGGGCTTGAAGGCTGAGGACTACAGGGCAGAGCTAGTTATTCGCAAAACGCACCAGGCAGCTGCCTGGGTAATGCGTGCCACTATAGTGGCCTCGTTTTTTAATAGAATTTCTTTAGTCTGGTTAGCTACAGGAGAGATTAGCTCCAGAGGATTTGAGCCTTCATCAGGATGTCAAAATGGTGGCGGCATTAGAATTTTCCTCTGATGCCACACTCAATGCGGCCAAGTTCGCATCCCGAGCTGTATCCAACATAGCTTCTCGTCGCCTCTTATGGCTACGCCATTGGCAAGCAGATGGGGATTAGTTGTTAAGCAGAGTGATAGCATTCAGGGAAAAACTCTATTTGTGTCTAGTTGTTGTGGTGTGCAGTGCCCTATAGTCTCATTTTGAGGGTAGGAGTTGAAACAATTTATGTCCAGTATTTGAGGGGTCTGTAAATATTTTCACAGCCCCCTTTTTGACTCGTACATTGTACCGGTCCTCAATGGAAGGCAGGTTGGTAGTAATTGTTTTTTCTGCAGTTCTAATTATCCATTGACATCTGTGTTTGTCTTTTTTGGTTGCAAAGCCAAACCAGTTATGAAAATGCAGGTGACAGACTCAATAATTCGTCTGTAGAACTGAATCATCAGCTGTTTTTGTCATCACAAAATACTGACTTAAGAGAGAGTGACTGGCCCAAAATCACCCATCCAGCTTTCATGCCTGAAGGAGGACTAGAACTCGTGGCTTTTAGGCCAGCACCTTAACCACTATAGAACCTTTGTAGCTAAAATTCATGCTTTGGAAATACTTTATATACTTGGAATAAATTTTGTATAGATTGATATAAAACCACTTTGATCTAGCGGTTAAGGTTTTGCTTAGAAAGCAAGGGACAGTGAGTTTTAGTCCCATTTTGGACAGTGAGTTTTAGTCCTATTTTGGACATGAAGGCCAGTTAGATGATAGGAGGAAATAGTTTTAAATATATTTGCTGCCTTATTTATTAAAATACTAAAGATGGAATTTAAATAAATAAATAAGTATATAAGTAAATAAATAAATAAAATTTTATATGAGTGTGTATATGTGTGTGTGTGTGTGTGTGTGTGCGCGCGTATTTGTATATATTTTCATTCTTCTGGATAAAGGCCTCTTTTATTTAAATATTTTGATTATCATATTTTAGTTGTCTTTTTTTTAGCATTTGAAGTCAATATAGCAATTTGTAATATAAAATATTTGCTTCACTTGATTCTCTGTTTAAAAGAAATGAAATCTTACACACAATTACTTGCATAATTTTTTTTTTTTAATTTCCATTTCATTCTATACAATCACATGTTTACTGTGCATAACCGGGGCATATAACATTGGNTCAACTCCCAGAATTCCCCAGCCAGCGAATGCTGGGGAATTCTGGGAGTTGAAGTCCGGACATCTTCAAGTTGCCAAGGTTGAGAAACACTGTCCTATAACATTCAGACAGGTGGCTGTCCAGTCTTTTTTTAAAAAAATAAAAAAAACCCTCTTCCCAGAAAACCTAGGACCACCCACCCAACCTCTCCACAGGGGGTTGAAACAGTTGATGACAGCAAAGACTTTTTCAAGAGGCAGATTAATTTCCAGAAAGGCCAAGAAGGTGGGTCTGTAACCCAGTTTAACCCTGGTTTAACTTCAACCAGCCTTTTCCTAAATTTCAAACCCTCCAGACATGTTGAAATATAGTCAGGAAACAAATTCCAAGGCAGGCTCAGGAATTCAAGAGGTGGGGAAAAGGGAGCAACTCTCAACCTCTTGGCACAAAACAGCCACCCTGCTTAAAAGCGAGGAAAAAGCCTGGCTGCGCCTCCACCGCAGGAGGCTCCTGTTGCTGGGTCAGGCGCGTTTTTTAGCCACTGCTCCCAACTTTCTGCGTCCTGACCAGCGAGGCTCAAAAACTAAGGCTGGCTTTTCCTGTGGCCTCGGCCCGACCGTTGCTCAAGCCCGACCCTCAAACATTCCCGCGGGGTGACCTAAGGGGAGCAGGAGACCCTCGAGCCAGGACCCGCTTTCCGTCCGGGAAGCCTCACAAAACGGAAGGCGAGGAAGCGCTAACTTCCCTTCACAGACAACCCGGCGGAGACTTTCACTCACCCAGGCGGGAAGGTCTCCGGTGGAGACGGAGAGCCGCACCGCCCGCTCCTCGTCTTCCAGGAAGGCGAGAGCCCGGCCCAAGCGGGAGCTCTTTCCGCCCCGGTGCCGCTGCACCCAGAAGAGGCACAACAAGGCGACCAGGACCCAGCTGAAGCTCAGCCCCAGGTAACCCAGTAGGTAGATGGGGAAGACCAGCGCGAAGCTCCGCGCGAACTGCGACAGGAGCCCCGGCAGGTCGACGCTGAGCAGCGGCGGCGGAGGCGGCGGCGGAGACTCGGGTCCCGGGCTGGCCCCAGGGGCCGCGGCAGGCTGAGCCCCTGCGCCACTCATGTTCTTCCCGCGGCGGCGGCGGCTGCCCCTCTTCGTGGAGCGGCTGCCGCTGAGGCGCTGTCGGAGGGCGGGAAGCGAGGGAGGGCGCGGTCCTGGCTAGCAGAGGCGTTTCCACAGAGCTCCCTCCCTGCGCCCGCCTCTCAGTTGCTGAGGGACATCCCCGCCCCAACCACGCCCCCTTGCCTTTCCTTCGGATACGCCCTTCCGGCTTCTGAGGGAGGCGGGGCTTGACGGGCTCGGAGCGAACCATTCTCAACAGAGGGGGGGACGGGGAGGGGCTGGCAAGGATAGAAGGGAGAACCCGACCTCTCTACTGGGAAGGTAGGCATTTCCTACTGGGTCAGTTCCCCCCCCCCCGCCTTTCCCTAAAGCGGCTATGCATTTAATCCCAGGAGTTTAATTGATCTGGGATAATTAGATCGTTGCTCAACGCGGTCTCATTCTCTTTGGGTCGGCCCACTGTTTTTCAAACTTGGCAACTTTTCAGATGGGTGGACTTGGCTGGTGAATTCTGGGTGTTGAAGTCCACAGATCTTAAAATTTTACAAGTTTGAAAATCACTGGCCCCAGTCCTTGCCTATACAGCAGAGGTGGTATTATTCAGCAGGTTCTGGCCAATTCTGGAGAACCGGGAGCGGAAATTTTGAGTAGTCCAGACAAACGGTAAATACCACCTCTGACTGGCCCTGCCTCCATCTATTCTCTGCCTCCCGAGTCCCAGTTGATTGGAACGAAATGAGGATTTTGAAGTAACCTTCCCCTGGAGTGGAATGGGAATGCAGATTTCACATTATCCTTTCCCTGCCCCAGCCACCAAGCCTAAGGTGACCAGATTTTCAGATTGGTAAAGAGGGACACCTTTGACCNATTAAACTAAGTAGGGATATTTTGAATAGTGTTTTTTTAATTGTGAGATAATCTGTTTGATATAAATCTTGCAGTAAAATTATGAGTTGCTTTTGGTTACAAACACTAAGCATATTTTTAATCTTAAAAAAAAATTGTTTGAAAAATATTAGTTAAAAATGAAATAAAAAAGATCCAAGCATGTTATTTTTTGAAGTGATTGTAAAGGTTGATCTGTCACACCTATTGGAAACTATCTAAAATTATAGATCCTAATTTTCCTTTATTTCTTCTGCTAAACAGTAAAGTACTATTAATACTCTTTAAAATATTTGAACATGAAAAATTATGTTTTCTGTATTTGTATTAAAATGCGAACCACATATTTATGCTGAAAAATAGTTTGATGTTATTCTGGTATTTCTCACAATATAAAAGAGTCATAAATAGCAAGTTTTGTGCTATAACAATTGATAAATCCCTTATCCATATTCCATTCCTATTTTTCTTTTAAATATGTAAAGCACATATATTTTCTATAAGATCCATACTTGCTTGATGATTGTCAATATAATTCTTTTTTTTTCTTTAGAAATTCAAAAGAAAAAATGAAGAAGCATGGCAAGAGTGAAAAAGAGAATGGAAAACGAGAGGTAAGAAAATTTTATTTGGCATTTGAAATGATGGAATGATATTGGAAGAACTACAAAGCAGAAACAGAAGAAAAAGAATTAGGAAAAGAGAATATAATTATCAATCAAAATAAAAGCATGGCAGAAGTTACACATTTTAAAAATCCAAATAATTAATGAAAAATGAATTATTTCTTCTGCTAATGTGTGTCTTTAGAGTTTGATTAATTTAATTTTGAAAAAATAGTATTCTGAAAATTTAGGTTTATAATTGGAGAGTCAAAATTTTGCTGAAAAAAATAAATAAAAATAAATTTACTGTAATCCTTCTGATGTTGTAGCCAAATAAATTGGGATGTAAATACCCTGAGAACAAAATACTTTTATTGAATGTAAGTTAAAGGTTCCCCCGCACATGCATGCTAGTCGTTTCCTGTTCTAGGGGATGGTGCTCATCTCCATTTCTAAGCCGAAGAACCAGCACTGTCCGGAGACGTTCTCCATGATAATGTGGCTGGCATGACTAAACGACGAAGGCGTATGGAGCACTTTTAATTTCCCACTAAAGGTGGTCCCTATTTTTCTACTTGCATTTTTTTACATGCTTTTGAACTGCTAGGTTGGCAGAAGCTGAGACAAGTAACCGGAGCTCACTCCGTTATATGGTGCTAGGAATTCGAACCACTGAACTGCCAACTTTCTGATTGACAAGCTCAGTGTCTTCGCCACAGAGCTACCGCATCCCTTATTGAATGTAGTTTACCTTAATTTCAAGTAAATTACTTTCAGAAAAGGATGTTTAAATATAGAATGTTATAATATTAAAGATATAATATCTCTAATAATTTTAAAGATTAGGGATTAAAAACATAGGTACGAAGATCTAACTCATTATTCAAGTTCATTGTCACATTTCAATGCTTTTCTCTTAATAGTTGTTTTGTATATTGATACATTAGCACCACAAAACTGATGGTTCATCAGCACCACGTCTCAAAAGGCAAGGAAATGAAGATGGTGGACAAAATGTAAGCATTTCATTACTGTTCTACTTTTTTTTATGCAAATGTTCCAAAAAAAAATCTCATTTTTATGTTACTGCTACTTCATGAGTTAATACTACTCTTTTTTATTATTATTATTACTTTAAGGAACCGAAAAAGGAAACCCTTTGTGAAGATTATAATGATTCTGTAAATTATGAAGATGATTTTGAGGTGAGTGTGAAGAAGAACATTTGAAGTGACTAAAACCAAATCATTCAAATGGGATAGGAATGGGGTAATTTCCATTCCAGATGACATCATTTCTGGTTTTAATAATTTAGGAATGTCTGAGGCAGCATTCTACGAACTAGGGGACTGTGATTTCTAATTCTGCCTCCAGGACCAAACCATCCTGCATAATTCTTTTTACAGATTTCCACATTAAATTACTTGCCAGAAATGAAACTTTTTGAGAATACACTTCAAAATATTTTGCAGTTCTAATTGGGGTTCTTGTTAATCTAGAATTTTCATCTACCTGAAAGTATAGGACAGAATTTTTTTTAAAAGAATTTATAATTGTTATTGGTGATGAATAATGAACAGTCATTCTTTTAAATCTCATTCTGAGACAAAGAGAACAGTGAGAAGGCATAGCACTATGGAATAGTGGCCCTGTAGTTTAGGTTCAAAATATATGATGGTCCACATAATATCGTTTGTAGGGATTCCTACTTTGGGCATCAACATTACTATCTTTAAAATAGCACCTTACCCAAACAAGAGTTTATCGTTGCTTGAAATCTCACAAGGCTTTGACATTCCCCACCCCCACCCCACTCATCAATTTTGCAAGATTTCTAGAGAAATTCCCTGTTGATTTCTATTGGAGTTGTTTATATTAAGATACAATGGGATTATATAGTGACCCCCAAAACCTTTAACATTAATATACAGGGCGGGGCATAACCTTTTCCTAGGGGGTCACAGCAACACTTGTAATAACAACACAAATAATTCATACACCATTCGAAAGCCCATCAAAAACTGAGTTTATTGACACGATTTAATAGTCAGTATGACCACCATTAGCCCTTCGAACAGCATTCAAACGAGGTGGATAAGAACACAACAAATCTTCAAACAGTCATTATTTTGCAATTCTAGGGCGGGGCATAACCTTTTCCTAGGGGGTCACAGCAAGATCGACAGCAGTTTACAACTTCCGCGACACCTCATTTTAAAGCCCATAAAAAACTGAATTGAATGAGCTATTAAATGTTAAATTTGCTTTAAGAATGGCTGGAAAATTCGATTCGGAAGAACAAAGGATCATTGACAGAATAAAATGCATTGCCTTTCGAGAGGCACCTCGTTTGAATGCTGTTCGAAGGGCTAATGGTGGTCATACTGACTATTAAATCGTGTCAATAAACTCAGTTTTTGATGGGCTTTCGAATGGTGTATGAATTATTTGTGTTGTTATTACAAGTGTTGCTGTGACCCCCTAGGAAAAGGTTATGCCCCACCCTGTACTGATCAACATAAAGAAAACAATAGGGCTGCTGCTGTTGAAAACATACAGGTAGTCCTCAACTTACAACAGTTCATTTAGTGACCATTAAAAGTTACAATGGCACTGAAAAAAAGTGAGTTATGACCATTTTTCACACTAAATTGCAGCATCTCTGTGGTCATATGGTTTACATTTAGATGCTTGACAACTGACCCACATTTATGACGATTGCAGTGTCCCAGAATCATGTGAGCAATGGTGTAACCAGATTCACTTAACAACCATGTTACTTAGTTAAGAACTGCAGTGATTTGGTTAACAAATGTGGCAAGAAGAGTCGTAAAATGGGCAAAACTCACTTAACAAATTTCTCATTTAACAAGATAAACTTTGGGCTCAATTGTGGTCATAGGTTGAGGACTACCTGTACTCTAAAAAAAAGTGATCACCATTATCTTTTTGAAGGACTATGAAGATGATTTTGATGACTTTGATGATGAAGATGATGAAAGTAGCCAGAATGCAAAAAGTGAAAAAGAAGGAGCAGAAGCAGGATTACAGAAAGTTACTGTAGCTAAGAACTCAGAAGTAGAAGAAATTCAGAAAGCAATTAATGCGGAAAATGAAAAGATTAAGGCCTTCCTTCCCAACTCAAGAAAGAATGAACATCTTCCAAAAGATCATGAAAAATACCCAAGAATAGGTATGTGATTAGATAATAGTTTAAGGTAGAAACTATTTCTTTACTTCTACTTATTTATTGCTGCTGTTGTGAAACATCCTCAATAAAGAGGAACTGCACTGTTTAAAACAAGTTTCCAATCTCTGAGAACCATGCTGGCCTTTATGGGGTAGCCCGAAAGAGAGACAAGGACATGCAAAAAGCTTAAAATTCCCTTTCCATTGACTGAACAAAGTTTATGTCATCATTTTCCAAGTACTTTAAATTTCTTCGTCCATCCCATTGAAAATTAAGATTCAGCAACAACTTGGTGTTCTGTGGGTAGCATTTAAACACGTTGGTAGGATGCATGCTTGCCACACACCAAAGATTTAACCTGGCATCTCCTAATCTGTTTCCTTTTATTGGATCTCAGATAACTTCTTCATACAGGGTCAATTCAGAATATTTCGCACTTGCAAAAGCTGAAGACTCCAATTTGAGAAAGGCTGATATAATGCTATCGCTTCTCCGATAAACAAGTTAGTTGTTCACATAACAATAGTCAGATTTCAACACCAATCACAATATTATTTAGTTAATTAATTCAATGTCATGTTTTATATTCTATATTGATTATTATTTTTAAGAAACATAAACCCTTCTACCACATATCTCACTTTTTGTAGCTCAGGCTCATATGCGAATACTAGGACTGTTGTAAAATTTTAGCAGGAGAGATTTTAGAGAAATGATCCTCTAGCTATTAAAGAAATGAAGTTGTAGGGAATATGGATCAAAGCCTTGATTACCAATTAGTTTCCTAAATTAGCCCATTGATAAGCAGGTGAAATTGCTGCCATAATTCTTTACTTAGGCTGTTGTTCTATATCCTGACTTTTCCTATTGTGTTCTCTTGATAAATGTCACATGTATTAATGTCTGTTCTTTTTCCTTTGTCTTCCATAGCATCATTGCACCTGTCTTTTATTTATCTTAGAACAGTGTTTCTCAGCCTTAGCAACTTGAAAATGTGGACTTCCACTCTAGCTACCCATGTTGGCTGGGAATTTCTGAGAGCTGAAGTATGCACATCTTCAAATTGCCAAGGTTGAGAAACACTGAACTAGAGATATAGCATTACATGTTTTATATTCAGTAATACCCAGCATGGGGAAACAGCATAACATGGGTCAGATTAGGCTAAAAAAAATATGGGTGGAAAGATGCCACACTTGCCAATTTGTGGCTTTTCAGACCAGTAACAAACCCTGCTTTACAGATATGAACTGATCCTAATTTAACAAAGCATTGTTATGTTTTTTTTTATATAATAAATTTAGCAGTCACATACTAGATTTATTCAATCTAATTTGATGATTTATTTTGATTTTCTATCTGTAAATGTATATAAGTCTCTGCGTGAATAACCCGACCCCCACATTTTTAACCAAAATATCATGAAAATAAACCACCTATGGATAATCCAGCCCACATTTTTTCATTTTAGTTTGGTTAAAAATTCAGGAGCCAGTTATCTGTGGATAAGTTTCTCTGCAAATGCATACAGGAAGGGCAGGTATTTTTAAAAAGTATTACCTTATATACTCTTGGAGAAGCTTCTATAGAGAAGGCAAATCTGGTTTTTAGCTGCATTTTGGCACCTAAAATTCTCAGTTTATTTGTGAGTTTACATGGTATATCAGTTTCCCTCCTAACAGAAGCACAAGCCATTTAATGGAGATAATGTGTAATAGTAAATTTGTGTAATTACACAACAATATGTACTATATTCATATACGTTGTTATGTTACAGAAAAGCAAGTTTCACTGGCTCAGTGTCCCACATCTGGAAAATTCATTGATTTCCAAATGGCTCAACAACGGCAAAATATCAGAAAAGTTGCCAATCAACAGAAGTAGGTGGCATTAATATAGATCACTACCTGTAACTATTGGGTTGTGTGTGACATCTTAATATGTTTTTGTAACATTACAATTGCTGTACATTGGACAAAGTTCAATAAAGTATTTTGTCATACATACTGTATCCAAATTGATTGAATGCAACCTATCAAAATGGTTCAAAATAAAGGAATGTTTTCATGGTTCTGGGACTTAATGATATAATAATTTTTAAAAAGCCACTGTGTGTATAGAAAAAAAATTGTATTGTTTCCTAGTTCAATGATTTTTTGCTACTCTTTCCTTTCCTTATTTGCTTTGAGTATCCCCCCTATTAAGAGAGAAAGCTGTATTTTTCTTAGTATCTAATGATTCTTGCACATCTTCATTTCACTATCAGTCATTTCTAGGACTATTTTGGGCTGTGGTATAAGATTTCATGCCTGAGTAGGGGATTGGACTAGAAGATCTCCAAAGTCCTTTCTAACTCTGTTATTCTGCTATTTCAAAATCTATTTTAGAAGTGAAAAATATATCAGGTTTTTCTTTTCTAATTTTAGCTTTTTTTTACTATCTTCTGTTGCCCACATTGTTACACAGTTTCCTTTCTACAATATGTATCTATTATTAGTCCATTGCAACGTTTAATATTCAGGAATATTAACTCTGACTTTTTATTGCAAAAGTACTAGAGAACCATCATTATCATATATAAAAAAGATTGTTTATACACTCATCTGCATACACACACACACAAATGCCTTAAAATGTTAAGCATTAGTGTTACAAACTTTGCACATATCTGCTATGCGGATATTCAAACCTAAATCTCTCTCTGTGCAGTGTGTGAAACGGCATAATTATGAAGAGTACTATGTAGTTCCACTCTGAAAGATGCAGAAAGCGCTTAGAAAGGAAACATTTTATATCCAGAAAGCATTTAATCAAGTCAGCATTTTCATTTTATGTCAAAAATATAGTGGATCGTAATAACCAACATGAAACATTTTTTGGTATAGATCCTTGATGCTGTATGCTTCTTACTTTCAGAGAAAGAATATTTCTAACCAGTGAAAGTTTATTTCTGTTTAATAGACATTTTGCTGTCTTGTGACATATTTTTCAAGGAAACGTAGCTTTGAACTTCTTCGTCTCATTGACCTGGATTTTTCAGTCAGCTTCTGTTTGTTGGATTTGCCTCCAGTAAATGAATATGATATGTACATTCGAAACTTTGGGAAAATAAACACCAAACAGGTATGAAATAAAATAATACCCCAATTATTCACATTTATTCCATTTTATTTTATTAAGAGGTGTTCATATCAACAGATTTTTAAGGTGAATAAGGGAATAGACAGATTATGAGATGACAAAATAAGAGAAAAATAGCAATACAATTCAAGAGTTGTAGGTCACAGCTGGGAATAAATCTGACAACTGGTAAATACAGGGTGGTACAGCAATGACACAATGTTAACTCCACCCATTTTTATTGTATAGGCAACTCTGTCTGACACAAAGGACTCTGCAAGATTTCAGTCCTGTCTGTCTGTCTGTCAAAAATGTGTGATCTATGTTGCCACTTTCTGTGATGCTTTAATACTAATGAAAAGTACAAAAAGGATTCCTGTAAATATTCCTTTGGATGTTACAAAATAATTCTCAAATGATAGCCCTTATTAGACAGCAGTTTTTATTTAGCTTTCCAAAGAAAAGGAGGCTGCCTTAAGTATATACAAAAAGGGAACATAAAAATAGAATACAGAAATAATAAAAAGCTATTCATTCCAGTCCTGCTAGGCATCAGCATGATAGAATCCTCCATGCATCAGCATGACAGAATCAAAATTAACACGTTAAACTCTCCGTAATTCCAAACAATAACTTTCCATTTCAACAATAAACAACTGTGTGCAATATCAATATTCCTGCTCATGTTAAAGAAGCATGTTATTAGTTTTGTCTTCTTAATGTTTTATCTGTGGATAATAATACATTTTAGTAACAAAATGTTTGTCTATAAAGTAAAATACCCTAGAATATGGTAATAAGTACAGATAATGAGAGGACATTTCTTTACAGTAATTTCAATTTCTATTTTAGGCTTATGTGCAGTGGAATGAGGATAATCTGGACAGAGATATTCAGACAGAGGAAATAGAAACTCAAGAAAAATGGACACAGCATCCTGGAGAAACCGCCCTTGTATCTGGAGGTGATTAGAAAATAATGTTTTTAAGTCTCTTTTGCCTTGATTTATTTTAGCCAACATTTGTGGCCCACATTTGTAGTAAGAAGAGAGAGAAAATCTGTTTAAAATAAAATTAGAACTTGAGCATAACCCCTGAGAAATACATGTAAACAAGAGGTTTGTTTAACATTGCAACTGGTGGACATGGTGGAAGCTTGTACCAGAGAATTGTCCCATTATTCAGAAGAAGAAGAAAAGAGCCTTAAGCTAGCCAGTTCTTTGCCTTAATATTGGTTAGTTTAAGACTTGTGTAAACAGGCAGGCAGATAGATGAGAACTCTGTTGAAATTCTTAAAGCAGGGGTCTCCAAATTTGGTGACTAAGACTTGTGAACTTCAACTCCCAGAATTCCTCAGCTAGCCATAGTTGGAGGAGGAATTCTGGGAGTTGAAGTCCACAAGTCTTAAAGTTGCCAAGTTTGGAGACTCCTGTCTTAGAGAATCTCCAAGCATTGGAAATTCTAGATCTCTGTCACTGTTTTCTCCAGCATGGGTAAAATGGTATGAAAGTTTCCAAGTAAGTAGATACAGTTCTTTATTTCCTTCTTATGACCTCATGTCTCATTTTAGGTCCCAAAAGCAGTCACGATGTAACTGCCATTACACCAAAGATTGATTCCCAGAGACTAGCAAACTTCCTACGATCTGCTTGTCAGGTATAATTTATATGCATATGATCCACTATTCAAATTATTATGAATGATCAATAATATTAGTTAATGATAGTACATACATGGTGATGGTAATTTTATTCATTTATTAGATTTTTTTTATCCTGCCTTTATTACTTTATAAGTAATGTGAGGCAGTGAACATATCTAACACTCCTTTCACCTATTTTCCCCACTGCAAAAATCCTATGAGATGGTTTGGACTAAGAGAGAAGTGTGTGGCCCAAATTCACCCAGCTGGCTTTCATGCCTAAGTCAGAACTAGAACTCACAGTCTCCTGGTGCTTGTCTCAGAGTCACTCATGCAACAAGAACTCTCAGTCTTTCAGTGACTCATCAGTGACTCAAGTTACCCATCTGGCTTTTATGCCTAAGACAGGGCTAGAATTCAGAGTCTCCTGGTGATTGACTCAAAGTCATCCAATTGGTTTTCATGACTAAGGTGGGACTAGAACTCACAGTCTCCTGGTTTCTAGACCAGCAGTTTAACTACTTCACCAAAGTGGCTGTGGTAATTTAAAAAAATAGTAATATTGAAGTTAACTTGGTAAACTATATGATCATATAGACGTGACCCAATGATAATTTGAAACAATTTCCTTATGCTTGTTTTTTCTCCTTTGGGTTCTCTTGTATGGGATAGTTTTCTGTTGTTAGGCAATGATGTGAGCTCAAAAAACCCAGACACCACTATGGACATTCCACAGATTGTTTTCTTGCAATCCTTAACAGCATCTCTGAAACTGGGCTGCTTTATCAATTGTGTGCCGTAATTAGCTTGGAAATTTCTGTAATCAATATGAATAGAAAGTTCCCAACTGTTTTTTTTGGAAGGTGATCGAAGTTTTACTTGAGGAAGATCAAGTAGCAACACAGCCCAGGCGGAATCTAAGATCACGGCCATCCAGTCTATCTATTAGCGATAGGTGCTTCCAGTTAAATACAAATCTTCCCTTCCTGGATGGTAAGAATATTTTCTTTCTATCATGTGATGTAAGAAAATAAGATCTTAAATAGTACAATATGTAATTTTTCACAGGCAACTAGATGAAAACAATAAAGGCAGGTTATCAATCTAATAGTAAAAAATAAAGAAACAAATAAATAAAATAGTATTTCTCATTTCAGCTCCTATCTTCTTTTTCAGCTACTTTGGACAATAATTCATTTTGGTATCCTATCAGAATTTTGCTGGGTGTAAAAATAAATGTTGTTTTGGGGTTGGACTGAGAGAAACTGACTGGCTCAAAGTCACCCAGCATGCCTTCATAGCTAAGGCGGGACTAGAACTCAAAGTCTCCTGATGATTGGTCTAAAGTTTACCCAGTTGGCTTTCCTGGCTAAGGCAGGACTAGATCTCACAGTCTCATAGTTTACATCTTGGGGCATTCACCACTACACTGATTCTTATGCTTGGTTATAGGCATTATCATCCCCCTCCCCCCCCCTGCGTATTTCTAGGGAATTTTTGCACATAGAGCTCCAAAGCATCTTCAGAAGAATTAGCTTTGGAGGATGATAAAGGTTTAAAAAGAAGTTATTTTTTTCATTCTTCAAACATCAATAATCTATACTGAAAAGAAAAGCATTGAGCCAAATTCTTCCTGCATTTGGACTTAGGCTTCCCCCCACCTCCACTCCCAACAGTGCAAATAATACCAGCTTCATTCCACTCTTCCCTTTAGGCCGCAGGATATCCTGTCTGCATATCTCACAGGCTCAGAGACAGGCTTTGCTTTCAGTCCATGGACTTCCAGAAACATCCAATGACCTATCACTGGATAGCAAATACATCATCTGTGTGTGGAATGTTTGGCAGCCTTCTAGTCCTCAGAAATTACTGCTTTGTGAATCTCAGGTATGCTTCCTCAGAATTTGAAATTTTGGGAGTTTGCTCTAAGTGCTTCTAAAGTGATGACCTTGAGGAAAGTAGATTGCTTACCTACAAAACTGAAGCTGAAAATCAAATACTTCGGCCACCAAATATGTTATGTATAAGTCAGATGTGACAAGGGACCTTGCAAACCAGAAGAAATGTAGCCATTGAGAAATGCCCATGGATGGCATGCTGGGGAGTAAAATTGATCATGCATCAAATACTGGATGAAGCATTCACATTTTTTTTCTGAACACAAACCTATTAGATTATGGATTGAGAATAAATGGTTAAAAATAAGATATTATTCTGTACTGAGATACGTTCTTCTGCCTTGTAGGTGACCTGTTGCTGCTTTAGTCCTTGTAAAGCTACTTTGGTGTTTGCTGGAACAGTTGATGGTTCAGTCCTGGTGTGGGATCTCAGAGAAGACTCAAGGATGCACCAGTGCATGAAAGTTAATGAAACAGATTGGACGTTTAGATCTCCTACGTTTTCTACTGGTTAGTGTGCCTTGAGTAATTACACTTGATTGGGCAGCATCTGTTTGTAGAAAGAGTTTTCACTTCCACCTTAGTTTCTTAATTCTTTCTTCCATTAAAAAAGAGATGCATTATAAATAGTAAAAAAGCTAAACCAAAGGATGACCCAGAAGAGAAAAACAAAGTGCATTAAGGTAGCAATCCTGTTTTACTAGTAGTCCTCAATTTATGACCACAGTTGGAACCAGTTTCTGTTAAGTATTGACTATTTCATTGGTTAAGTCAGTTGCAGCCGATTTTATGACCTTTTTGCCATGGGGGTTAAGTAAATCACTGCAATTGATAAATGAATAATGTGGATATTAAGCAAATCTGGATTCTCCCATTGATATTTCTTGTCAGAAATCATCTGGGAAGGTGACAAAAAGTGATCATTTAATCTGGAACACTGCAACCATCATAAATACATTCCAGTTGCAAAGAGCCCGAATTTTGATTATATTACTTTGAGGTTGCTGCAATGGTTGTAGGTGTCAGGACAGGTCATACGTCTTTTTTTTTTTAGTGCTGTTGTAACTTTGAACAGTTACTAAACGAATGGTTGTAAGTCGAGGATTACCTGTACTATTTACCTAAGAGTCTGGCGGAGTTTTTTTGTTTGCAGCAGTACTTCCAGCAAGCACACAAATAAATGAACTTCAGCAGGATTCAATTTAATATAAGAAACTTCTTTATATACAATACCAAACAGCAGAATTCAGATACAATATCAGGAACACAGAAACAATATTCATAGAAGCAAGTCATTGACAGAATAGAGAGATACAGAAGCCTACATTGTATAGAAGACTGAGGAGAATTACAGAGGCCTAACCAACTCTTATATACAGTTCAGCAAGTCTAAGTCACACCCAGATTCCAAATTGTCTCTTATGGCCTCATACAAACAAATACTATGTTTCACTATTCAAGTAGACCCCATTGGCTGACCTGTTACCATGTCTATTCCAGTCTTTGAACATACTCTGACAGAGTCTCAATCTAATGAATAGGAGAACATACTGATATATACACAGCCAGTGAGTGTCAACTTTTTTTAAGGGATACAAAGATAAATCACTGACTAAAACACCTACCTGATGGTTCATGGCAGTTGCAATTCCATTGGGACCATCATCTTAATTTTTGCAGTTGATTCTTGAAGAGGATCTGGACTGGCCAGGTTTTTTCCCCCCAGAACTTTTTGTTTTCTGACAGAAATCCAGTGTCTGTTGGGTTAGAACAAGAATCCTTCAAAATTGTCTTTTGGGCACATCCCTCCAAAAGGGCTAAATGCACACATACACACACACACACACACACACACACACACACACACACACACACAAATCCTACCCTGCCATAATGACACAAGACTAGCACAGTTTTGTACAATATTGAAAATCACTGAGCTTTGGGCTGAGGGGGTAAGACTTAGTTAATAACTACTATATTGTACCTTCGCTTCTTCCTTAAACTCAGATGGAGTGTTTACCGCAATAAATCACGCTTGTACTGTATTGACCATTGAACCTGTTTCCACCTCTGTCTTCAAGGAGCAGAACTGTGGGTTCTCCTATCTCTCTGTTCAGGAAGGTATGTAAAGTACTAGGTACTGAGCAGCTCATATTTTTTCAAAAAGATTAGTTGCTCCATTCTGAATTATGTAGAAATCCAAGTCTGCAGGCTGGATTTTCAGTACGAATTCAGTTACACAGTTGGGGAAAGACCTTGAATTCTTGGAGAAAGGGTAAATGAATAAAATGGGGGTTTTGTTGCCTCAGTTTGATGTCTGATATTTTATGGCATGATATCTTATGACATGTTCAACTGCTTTGGCTTGAAGATACTTAATTAGGAAAGCTGTCGTATATATTTAACAATCTAATATATGATGAGTATTGTTGCATGTCCCACCTGCGTAGCTTTAGGAAAGCCAAGGGCATTTACAGACCAGGACTCCCCACCAGTTTGGAATCATTTCATGTTTCTATGTTCTCACAGCATCATGTTGGTGACTGTTCAAAGTCATGATGCACCCCCAAAAAAGTACCTTTGGATCCAGTTCCAAAGTTCTGACAACCAGCCCCTCCCGCAGTCACATGGCTGTATTTTGAGTGCTTGCCAATTGGTCTGTCTTTTCCGCTGTTTAGAATAGAATAGAAAAACAGAGTTGGAAGGGACCTTGGAGGCCTTCTAGTCCAACTCCCTACTTAGGCAGGAAACCAGCATCCTATGGTTGCACCACTGTTATTTATATATATTTTTGATGAAAACGGGCATTTACTTCTAATTCCCCCCCCCCCAAAGCCTCGTAGCTAATAGTTTAAGGACCCTGAATTCACTTAACAACCATAGTGGTCCACTTAACAACTGCCACAGAAAGTGAGAAAGTCGGGTTGCTCACATGATGATCCACTTACAATCACCAGGGGCAGGCTCCGTTACAGTCACAATTCAAAGTCCACCTGTACTTTGATCTAGTGCATACCACCCCAGGAATCCCAAATGATCCACTTAGATATAATAGAGCATTGCAATTTAGAAGTGCTTCTGAAGCTATTTGTTCACTGGAACTGATGCAGGACTTCCTGCCTTCCGATACATTTCTCAGGGACCTTATCAGCCATGGATCTTAATCCTTCTAGTCAGTTACAAATTCCCGTGGAGGGCTTAATTTTCCTCTTATATAAGCAGCCCTTATCAGCCAATACACTCTTAATCCTTCCAGACAGTTGCTCAGCACTGTAACAATCTCTGTAAAAGCTCCTTCTCTTCATTATCCATTCTTCCATAAAAAAATCTTCTGACTGGAGTCCTGCTGCAGCTGTTAGGAAAAAGGACCTCAATCAGAGCCATTAAAGCTACTTTCAGCTGGAATTTATAGGGAGGATGACATCTGTTTCGATGGCCTGATAGCTTTCTCCTCACTCCAGTGCCGTGACGCCAAATCTATGGCATGCTTGCCAGAGGTGGCACACAAAGCTCTCTGTGGGCACACATGCCAGCCACCTGGACTTTGGGTTTCTGGTGCATGCATGCGTGCCGACCAGCTGATCTTCGTGTGTGCTGGAGCCCTGGAAACCCAAAAACCAGTTGGTCAGTGCACATGCACACGCCGGCCACCTGGTCTTCGGGTTTCCGGCACTCTGATGTACAGGAAGACCAGCTGTCGGCGTGCATGTGTGTGCCAGAAACCAAAAGACCAGGTGGTCAGCGCGTGCATGCGCATAGGCCAGCTGGTCTTCAAGTTTCTGGGGCTCCGACAAGCGCATGTATTCTGTTTGGGGCACTCAGTGCCAAAAAGGTTTGCCATCACTGCTCCAGTGGTTCAGATTTGGAAGAAAATGGCCAAATGCAGAAATACCTTTCTTGGCAATATCTGTAGAGGATAGCAGCAGTAGTGGGATTCAATTTTTTTTACCACAGGTTCTGTGGGTGTGACTTTGTGGGCGTGGCAGGAGAAGGATCCTGCAAAATCCCCATTCCCTCCCGATCATCTGGGACACGGGAGGCAGAGAATAGATGGGGGCGGGGTCAGTCAGACCTGGTATTTACCGGTTCTCCGAACTACTCAAAATTTCCTCTGTCTCCAGAACTGGTCAGAACCTGCTGAATACCACCTCTGGATAGCAGCATGTGATTGGCCTTTTTCTGCAGGACTGGCTCATGCTATTATTCTTTGCCTCCTCTTAGTGGTTTTGGATCAACAAGAGTATGCCGTACAAGAGCACTTCTGGCTTTAAAATGTTTTAGAAAAATTGGGGAGTATTAACAGTGCCATGCAGAAATGTCCCTAATTTTCAGAGGTTAGATGTAGGTGGAAAGTTTTTAAAGTTTATCTCTGAATTCCTGTAAATATATTTACTTATATACCCTTTTTCCCAACAGAAATGCTTGGACTTTCATTTCAGATTGCTTCGATGGATGAAAATGGGACTCTTAATCTATGGGTAAATTGAGATATTTTTATTTTATTTATTTATTCAATTTCTATAGCCTCCCATCTCAATCATTGACTCTAAACGGTTTATAATTCCAAAAGGATAAAAATAATTAAATAATGAAGCATTTAGAATACAATTTTTAAAGAGTATCCAAATAAATTTACACAAGAGCCAAGATATTTAGCCAGTTAACGGGAAAGCTAGGAAATGGGCCCCTTACCATATTCAGCATCCCAGGCTCAGGAAAACAGCCAGGCTTTTAAAGACTTACAAGAGACAGGGCTGGGGCAGTTCTAATCTCCAAAAGAAGGATCTTCCACTGAGCAGAAAAAAAGGCAAATTTTCTGGTCCCCACCAGCCAGCACGCTAACGGGATCTGCAGCATGACCAATCCTGAGTTAATATGTCATAATACTCAGGCAGGGTTTTTGTTGCAGGGCAAATCACATTTTCCTGCAGCCTGATTCCCTTTGCTCTTTTTAAGGACAACTTTCCAGATTATCACTATAGATTTGGTTTTTCATTTGGGACAAGTTGTTTTCTTTTCCAGCCAGTTAAGGCATCCATTGCAATTGAAAGTGCATTCTTAAATGTCATGAATATAATTCTTAATTACTGTGTTTCTGAATCTTAATTTGTAAATCTTAATTTATAAGCAAAAGTTTATGCACTTTCTTATGCCTGCCATGCTTTCCTGTCATTGCAAGCGTCATGCTTCTGCTATTTGAACAAATTTGTTCTCAAGTGTTTTAAGACCTTTTTCGTTGCGTCATTACAGCCAACAGTACATGTAGTTCTTAACATCTGTTTTATTGGAATACCTCTAACTTTACTAGAACTACATATGATTGGTTGCTTTATGACTATCCAATGTTCCGACAATCTTCCTTGGGGGGTACTTACAACCACCACCACCACCCATCATGTGACATATTTCAAGTGTTTGGCAACCAGACTGTATTTTGCAGCATCCTGCAGTTACATGATTGTGTTTTCCAGTGGTTTTGCAAAGGAAAAAAAATGGCATTTACTTCCACTTTTCTGCAAAACTGCATTCATAGTGAACCATTACTTTACTTAACAACCACAACATTCACTTAAGAACTGCAACATTAATTTAATGACCACTGCAAAAAAGGCTGTAAAATCAGGTCATCACATGGTGGTTTTATGAGTTATGATTATGATGGACAGGCTCAATTACAGTTGTAACTTGAGGACTATCTGTATCTACTTTGTCACTTTATCTTCTTTGAGGGTAATTTTTGACCTTTCCTAGGTGGTTGTTGAACTTCAAAAAGGAGATTTGTCTGGCTCACAAAATGATTTAGGTAAGTAAATTTAATGAAAGAGAGCCAATTGGGCAAGATTTCCTAAACTCTTTGCTATTTATGCCTCTCTATCGTATAATGTGAATATATCCACCTCCCTAAGAATCGAAACACCAACATGAACTCAAATAAACAATCTGTAGAGATTCTCAAGTCATCGAGGTAATGGTTGCCCCAAAGGTGCTTTTTCAGGAGGCAACTGGACTTTCTTGGGTTTTTTTTCTTCTGAAGATGTGCTTCTTCCTTCTCATCCAAGAAGCTTCTTCAGCTCTGAAGCTTCCTCACTATCCTGTCAGAGCTGAAGAAGCTTCTTGGATGAGAAGGAAGAAATGTCTTCAAAAGAAAAAGAAAAACAAGGAAGTCCAGTTGCCTCCTGAAAAAGCACATTTGGATCAAATAAACAATGAAGGTCAGCAGTTCAGCGGTTTGAATCCCTAGCATTGCGTAACGGAGTGAGCTCCCGTTACTTGCCCCAGCTTCTGCCAACCTAGTAGTTCAAAAGCATGTAAAAATGCAAGTAGAAATATAGGAACTACCTTTAGTGGAAAGATAACAGCGTGTGTCTTCATCGTTTAGTCATGCCACATGACCACGGAGTCGTCTTCAGACAATGCTAGCTCTTTGGCTTTGAAATGAAGATGAGCACCGCTCCCTAAAATCGGGAACAACTAGCACATATGTGCAAAGGGAACCTTTACCGTTATCTTATTCATGGGCTGAAAGGGAATTTCACTGGTGGAAGAGTATTGCTGACAAGCAATAGGAGGATTGGAGCTGTATTGGCTAATTAACAGCTTTTTTGTATTAATATGTATGCCATATTGAATAAGAATACATATTTATTTTTCTGCCTAGTTAAATTTGTGAACAGAACTTATGGACATAAATTGATAAGTCACAGTTGGATTTAAAATTGCCCTTCCATTTAATTATATCAGTGCTAATAAATTGTTGCTATTATAATTATCATAATGCATTTTATTACTTTCAGGATTAATTCCTGGGGGAAAAATTAAATTGGTTCATAGCTCTACCGTTCAGCTGAATTGCAGGTAAAATATGTAGAACACATCTTCTTAATGGGATTATCCTTGAAAGCACACTGTTGGCAGATTTCCAAAGAGGGGATAGTAGTTCCTTAGTAGCAGATCACATCAGTAGGGCAGAAAGTGGAAGAAAGCTTGAATAATGGTGCTTCAGGTGCAAAGCCCTGTTCCAAATGCTCCATGGACAAAAAGTTTGCTTGGTCATGTTAGAGCATTAGAGCAGGGGTGTCAAACTTGATCACCTCACGTGATGTATCGCAATGTTTTTGTGTTTTTTTGCGTTTGCAGAGCTGAAGTGAGTATGGCTCGTGCGTGATGCATCTGGCCTGCGGGCCACCAGTTTGACACCCCTGTGTACAAGCCAAGCTACATGATCGATTGAGTCAGTATTTCTCAGCCTTGGCCACTTTAAAACCTGTGGACTTCAACTCCTAAAATTCTCCAGCCAACAAAAGGAATTCTGGGAATTGACGTCCACACATCTTAAAAGTTTAAGAAACACTAGAATGTGTAGTAGTTGGATGGTACTGGAGAAAGTTCAGCTTTATGGTCAGCAAAAGAATCTCCCTGAACAAGGTGGGAACCAACCTCTCCAAATTCAACCTACCTAATAAGGCTTTTCTGGGAAGAAATAGAAGAAAGGAGGGGCTCTTTGATGGTGGTGGGATATACCCTGTTTCCCCAAAAATAAGACCTCCACGGATAATAAGCCCAATCGGGCTTTTGAGTACATGCACTAAAATAATCCATCACCTGAAAATAAGCCCTCCCCCAAAATATTGCAACATAGCAGCAGCCATGAGGTGACCACGCTCGCTGCCTCCTGCACCTCAAAAATAATAAGACCTCCCTGAAAATAAGGCCAAGTGCTTATTTCAAAAGAAAATAAGACCCTGTCTTATTTTTTTGGGAAACACAGTACATCTAACCAATATGTACACATGAATGCATATCCAAATGGCAATTTCTATCTGAATTCCTTCTGCTCAGGTTTGTTGAAGGAATAACAAATATGCTTTGAGAGAGAAATGTCCATTTGTCACTCTGTCTAAAAAATTAACCGCATTCTGAACAAGATTTTATATCTAAAATCACTAGGAAAATAGAGAAACAAGATGGGGAATTGAATGGAAGATCTAGACTTAGATTCTGCTGGTTAATAAATAATAAATCTAAGATATTCACTCTGTGCTTCAATATTTGTTGCAGTTTCACTTGTTAATATATATGTTTCTTTTATATTCAGTATTTCTCCAAAAGATTACACATTTCTGGGGGTGCCCCAGACACTGAACATTAAATTTCTGCCTTCAAATCCTAATCACTTTGTTGTTGGAACAGATGCTGTGAGTAATATTCTTAATCTAATTTTATTCTTGCCAACTTTTCTTAGTGTAATAGATTTTTAGAGTGGTATAGTGAGCCTGGGGATTGCTATCACTAATAGCTAATAACTAATATTACTAATGGCTGCATTGTCAGAATCTGGACAATGCCCGCAATTCCCTCTGAACTATTCTTTGTGCTATTTCACCAAATGTAGCCATGACTTTTCTTTTTTTCTTTTCAAAACTTCACAGGGTTTTGTGAGCCACGGCACAAGGCACGAGCTGAAAGTCCCTCCCAAGTGGTTCAAACCCCAGCAGGGGGGACCAAGAGCAACCCAAGTTAATGCAATAGATTTTTCACCTTTTGGAAAGCCGATCTTTTTGGTAAGGATGCTCTACATTCTTCTGTTAAACATTTTTTATTGTTTTATATCATACATTCAATTTCTATGTTGATCAGTTTGTTCTCGAGGTGTCCAAGGTGTTAACATACAAACATCATCATCGTCATTATAATCATATGTATATAAACAAATATACGGTAATGTATAAACAAATATGCAATAATATCAATCATTTTTGCAACATATACTATCTTCCATTACAGTATTCATTGTATAGCCATCAAAATATTTACTTATCAGTTTTTCTTTCTCATGTAGACCATATTTCACCTAATTCCACTCCTCTAACCTCAGTATTTGTCATTTAACCATTTGTAGAATAGTTCCCATGTTGTAAAATAATCCAAATCTTCTTTTCCTTTAATTTTTAGGGTTAACCTATCCACCTCTGCACATTCCAGAATTTTTTTATTATAATATCATCTGCAGGGGTTTCTGGGCTTTTCCAATATTGTGCATATACAATCCTGGCTGCTGTTAGGATATGTAAAACCAAATGTGTGTTACCCTTATTATAGTTTCCTGCTCTATGTTCTTGATTGGAATCATTCAGGTGGTGTCATATCAGTGAATGCCTGAAAGTTAGTGTGCATACTATGAATAACTTATCTGTGGAGCAGTAGCCATTACAGTTCTGGACTAGGCTTTGCAAACTTTATTCACATTGTCAGACAGAGCAAAATCAGCAATTAGGCTCAGGTGTTAATCCCTTCTTCTTGGAGTTCCTAATTCCCCATATTGGCTTGAAGTCCACAGATTTTAAAGTTGCTAACATTGAGAGACACTGCTCTACTTCCATAAAGCCTCCATAGGAAATCCGTACTACGCAGCCTGAACAACTCATCAAAATAGTCAAGTGTGAATAGCTGTCATGTCCCAGATCAAACATACATAAGCACACATAGAGGTAGTTGCACACTTTAATAAATAAATTGCTTTTGCAAAGTAAGTAAATGAACAAGTGCAAACATATGCATATGTAGTGGAGAGGCAAATGTCCCCCTTGACCAAATTTTATAAGTTTGCTTTAAAAGAGTTCCAGTCCAAAACAGTGGGCAGTAGAGTTTCACGGTCAAAACTTTATAGACGTTTCATCAGCTAGTCCAGTTACAGAGTCAAAGTTGTGAGATTCACAAGTCAGGAGTTAAAAGTGTGTGGGAGGGGGATCAACAGGCAGTTGTCATCAATAGAAGCCGAGGTGGCGCAGTGGTTAAATGCAGCACTGCAGGCTACTTCAGCTGACTGTAGTTCTGCAGTTCGTCTCTTCAAATCTCACCGGCTCAGAGCTGACTCAGCCTTCCATCCTTCCGAGGTGGGTAAAATGAGGACCCGGATTGTTTTTGGGGGCGATATGCTGACTCTGTAAACCGCTTAGAGAGGACTGAAAGCCCTATGAAGCGGTATATAAGTCTAACTGCTATTGCTATTGCTATAAAAACTTAAGTTTGCTGCTCATCTTAAATAAAAGGAGCTCTGGTGTTGTTCATTTGGAAGGGCGACACTCCTTCTGAGCAACCTCGCATCCATGACAGCGTTTTCTCTGCTCTCTTCATCACACATCAAGCCCTTGTGTTGAGCAGTGGTAGCAGCTCAGCCTCTTTATCTTTAGAGACCAGCCATGGCTGGATCTGGCGGTTACTGGACTGCCCTCTTCTGCCTGCGTGGACAGCTCCAATAACTCTGGAGCTCGCTGTTCATTGTCAGTCTCCTCCTCTATGAATCTGAGCTCACTTTGACAGTAACTTGGTCTTTTTTTCATCTTGAAGCATAAGGGTTCTGAATGCTTCTCGCACAACTGCCAGAATATAGTACTAGAAACCGGGACACACAGAGGTGCTCAATAAATTGTAGCAAAGTGATTGCAAGCATGAGGGTGCATTTGTAATAAGTGGCAGGTGGAGGTGTGAAAAGCACCTCCACCTGCCTGGGGTTCTGGGGTTCTGATGTGGTCTGAATTCTTGCAATATGCATCGCATAAGGAACAAGTAAAGAAAGACAGTTTCCGTCTTATTTCGTGTGCCACAGCTTTGTCAATGACACTTTTTGAACGTCAGGGTCAGGCAGTGAAATACTGTATGTCTGTGGTCTTCAAGACTTACGCGACATTCTTCACCTGATGGGTGTCCTTAGGATCTCAAATAATAAATACAGTAATAATCCACTTCTAATAGTAATCCAGTAATAATCACTGAAATTCACAGGAAGAGGTTCTTTTTCAGCTGAAGAAAGCTAAAGCCATGCATAATTTGGTGATATTTCTAACGATCAGCCATTTAATGTCATGCATTTTTATTGGATATCCATGCTTTTGACTTTACATCATACTTTTGGACCACCAGAGGTTCAATACATTGGGAAATCTTGCCTTAAAACAATACGTTAATCAGAAAAAAATGTATGATTTTTTTTTTAAAAAGTAAGTTTTGTGTGTTTTTATGCTTTCAGGTGGGCTGTTCAGATGGGAGCATTAGACTTCACCAAATGGCTTCAGAGCTTCCACTTATGCAATGGAACAACAGCACAGCGGGACAGTCAGTAGTCACCCTCCAGTGGGCTCTAACCAGGCCAGCTGTGTTTTTTGTTTTGGATGCCACATCTGTAGTTTATATTTGGGATCTCTTGGAAAATGATTTGTCACCTGTAGCCAAACAGCCAGTCTGGTCCGATAAGTAAGTTTACAGGATGCTCTTTGGTTTACAATTGTACAAATTGGGCAGAAATGAAAACAAGCAGGTCTGCTGGGCTTTAATCTTCATAGATACCAGTCTCTATTCAGGTGTTCAGTTACATGGATGAAGGGCGTAAAATAGTAAAGAACGATGCCTGCGTGCAGGCCTTGTTTCTTTCTCTCCCCGTGCTCCAATCATTCAGGAGAAGATGAGAAGCAAAACCGAATTTGCATTTGCAAGGACAGGAATATGATTCCCTGGACCAACAGGGTGGGCAGAAGGTCACACTGGTATCCTTCCTCTTTCGACGTCTGTAGAGATTGTCAGTCATCCAGGTCATGGTTGTCCTAAAGGTGCTTTTTCAGGAGGCAACTGGACTTTCTTATTTTTTCTTTTGAAGACATTTCACTTCTCATCCAAGAAACTTTTTCAGCTCTTGACAAGATAGTGGGGAAAGGAAGGATTTATATTCCTTGCAGACAGCTGGTCATTTGCATCCTTTTAGAGGGTCATTGAAGCACTTGGAGGTTTATCTGTGTTCTCAGGGTCACCTGAGTAGTGATCCTGATTCTTGTAGTCTTCAGTTTTTTAGCTATACAATTTTGGATGCACACCCTTTGAATGGTGTGGAAGTAGGAATGGATTGCCAGAGGAAAAAATTGCAGACTACAGGAACCAGGAACACTTCTCAGGTAACCCTGAGGCAAAATGTCTTCAAAGAAAAACAAGAAGAAACTCCAGTTGCTTCATGAAAAAGCACCTTTGGGATTTCTCTTTTGAACTTGCATTCATGTCTTAAGGGATGAGCTTCTATAATGATGCTCCATCTGCCATGTTGCTGATATTTACCTCATGGTGCAGTTGCTGCTGTTTGGGCCTCCGCTTTTTAAAAAGCCTTATCCCATAGAAATGAGTTCAAACAAAAGCCAGGCAATTATTTTTCAGGCTTCAAACCTGAAGGCAACAGGCAAGAGGATAGGACCATCACTTGTGCCTTATTTTCCATTCATTTTGGAGAATTTATCTGAATGCTGAGAGAAAATTTTGTTTCTTTAACCCAGAGCCATATGTCTGTGGTTCAGGTAATTCTCCTAATTGGAGCAAGAAAGGAAAATGTTCATATTACCCAATCTTAGCAACTTAAAGAGTGTGTTAGAATCTATTCATCCCAAAATTGCCAAGATTAAGAGACCATGTTTTCAGATTATTCTCACCAACGAGTTTGAAGTGAGTATCATGACAATGTGCCGTTTTGATTCCTAATTGTTTCTCACTTGATTCTGGCTAGTCGTCAAATGCTCTTAAATAAGATGCTGGGAACAGTGATGGGATTCAAATAATTTAACAACTGGTGCTCTATCCTAATGACCAGCTGGGTAGGCGTGGCTCGGTGGTCATGTGACCATGTGGGCATGGCCAACTCAACATCATTCAGGTCGATGGGCGCTTTGCCTTAGTTGTTACAATGGAATAAGGGTTAACCAGAGAGGCAGTTTCTGTAAGCAGGGCAATAAAGATTAAGCTAGACACAACACCAGAATGTTTCCTTCCTGCCTTCCTTACAAGATTGTAAGTGAAAAAACAAAACAAAACAAGATTTCTTCCAACAACCGGTTCTCCAAACTGCTTAGAAAGTTAACAACCATTTCTCCCGAATTGGTGAGAACTGGCTGAATCCCACCACTGGCTGGGAATGTTTGAAAATCAGACCAACATAACATTTGAGAGACTTAGGTGTAAATCTCGTAGCCCCAGACAGTGGTCTCAATCATTAACTCAGTGATTCTCCCCATCTAAAATTTGGCCCCAGTCAGAAAGTAGAAAGGGCTGGTTCTCCTCTGTCAAGGAATTGTGTTCTCATATATTGAGATAGAATATAGAAATGTTGGATCGTCTAGTCCAGTGTTTCTCAACCTTGGCGGCTTTAAGAATTCCCCAGCAAACAGTTGAACTCTGCACGTTTGAAAATTGCCAAGGTTGAGAATCACTGATCTAGTCCAGTCCTCCTCGGTATGAAAGGTAGTTGCCCACTCTCTTCTTAAAGACCGCAAGAGATGATGATCAAGAGAGGAAGATCCACATGGAGTTAGTCTAACCTGAGTAGTGTGATGGTCCTATCCAGTGAGAAGGTATTTTAATCTATTCTGCAAAGCAAGGAAGAAAGCAAATGCCACTGAAGCTCTTTACTCTCTTTTCCTCTGCTTATTAAACAAAAAGTTGTTATTTCTTTGTCTTCAGGATTACAACAATGGCTGTACTGGGTGAACCTGAGAAACCAAGTGGCGTTCTGGGCATAGCACTTGCTAAAGAATCTGGAATAATAGACATTAAGTATGTCAAGAAGATATGGGCCCTGCCTCAGCCAGACGAGGCGGAGAAATTAAACCTGCTTTTGCAGCAGGCCTTATAAAATGCAAACAGGCCTGTATCTGAATGCATAAATATGGCCTCATGGTTTGAAATGAATTTGTTAATGTGTGGGATTTAGCAGAATATTGCATGGCTGAAATATTTTTTTAAATTCCTATTTGTAAATAGTATTTATATGTTTTAAAATGTATCAACACAGTATTTGGACTTGAGCTAGAGAACATTTTTATGAAACACAGAATAAATATTTATGAAAGCATCCCTTTAAAAGAAATATATTTGTTTCAAATACGCTATGTACTGTAAATCTTTATACTTATTTTTGGAATAAAACTCAACATATAGTCCCATGAGCTTTGAATATTTGGTTTTTAATTTTCTAATTGAAAATGACTGTGGTTTATTTTCCATGTAAAGTTAAAGAGCCCTTGCTGGCATTTGCAGAATTAGGCAAATTCAACTTACTTTTCATAAATTCAAATGTGCCACAATCCAAAATTCACTTGTCCACAAGGGCCCCCCAAATCCTTCTTAGTAAATCCTGGCATTTGTGTCAAATAACCCCAAGACAAGAAAGAGCTCATAGTTACATTTAAATGCTGCACACAAGTGACTTTCAATCTCTTATGCAAAGAACAAAATAGCTGCTTGCTTATATACCTTTGGAAAAGGTAAAAAGTTCAAAACCACGACAATGCCAATTTAAAGTATTCAGGATACAACATAAGCCATAAGGGTAATTTACAGATAAGGAAGTTGATGTAATATTTTTGCAAGGATGTTAAAATCAGAATGTGGTCTGGTCTGGTCTGCAGCCTTTTTTTCCCCTAAGGCAATATGGGCTCAACTTTATAAATATGCCTTTGCTGCAGTGATATTGTACCCTGTTTCCCTGAAAATAAGACTTCCCCGGATTATATGCCCAATCAGGCTTTTGAGCGCATCTGCTAAAATAAGTCCTCCCTGAAAATATTGCAACGCAGCAGCAGCCATGAGGTGACCACGCTGGCTGCCTCCTGCACCTCAAAAATAATAAGACCTCCCCGAAAATAAGGCCAAGCGCTTATTTCGGAGGGTCAAAAGAAAATACTTTTCGGGGAAACATAGTAGAGTGAAATCTGTTGGTGTTAACAGATATCGTCACCGAATGGAAGCTGTTTTGAGTAAAGCCACCTTTTGCAATTGACTGATACCAAATTTGTCAATGCTGATGGCATTCATATGGTACTGTAGCTGTTTGGGATTGTGTCCAAGGGCCCCTATTACTGTTGGTACTACCTTCGCTTGCTTTTGCCACAATCGTTCTATTTCTATATGTAGGTCTTTGTATTTTGTTTTCTTCTCCAGTTCTTTCTCTTCTCTTCTGCTGTCCCCAGGTACTGCCACATCCACCATGCAGACTTTATTGTCTGTCTTATTGACAATTGTTAAGTCTGGAGCGTTATGCTGTAGGTACCTGTCTGTTTGACTTCTAAAGTCCCAGAGCAATTTACCTTCTTCATTTTCTCTATTTTATGATCCCACCAGTTCTTGCTGGCAGGCACATGATATTCCTTCAGGTGTTCTGGTGCACCATTGTTGTTACTTTGTCATGCCTTTGCTTATAGTCAGTCTGTGCGATCTTCTTGCAGCAGCTTACCAGGTGGTTCACTGTTTCTTCAGCTTCTTTGCATAGGTGGCACTTATTGTCTGTTGCTGTCTTCTCAATTCTGGTTTTGTATGCATTTGTTCTTAAGCATGGTCTTGTGCAGCCAGAATTAGTCTCTCAGTCTCTTTCTTCAATTTTCCTGCTCTCAGCCATTGTCAGGCCTTATAATTATCTAGGCTCCCTGTTATTTTTTAATGTAGTGCTTTGTCTTCTCATGCCTCCATTCTGTCCTTCATTCTTTCTTTCTTGCAGGCCTGTTTGGTCTCTCCGGTAGTCAGTAAGCCTTTCTGGTATACTAACTTCAGTGCCGCTTCTTCAGATATACTTCCCTTTTCTTGTTCAACCATCTGATGTACTTTCAGCATTCCATGCTCAACCTATCTACCTTGGTAGGTAGAGTCTGCCTGTGTTGCTGCGAGGAGGAAGGGCATGTCATTATTTTTCAGGTCTTCCATTGCTTTTAGTTCTACTTCAATCTAGTCCACTATTCCAGCTGTGTATATAATTTCCCACTTTCCATCTGCTACTTTCTTGAACTCCAGTTCATAGAACTACCGTATTTTTCGGAGTATAAGACGCACCAGAGTATAAGATGCACCAGGATTTTGAAGGGATAATTTTTTTAAAAAGGTTTTTGTACTCTGAAGACCTCCCAAACCCTCTGCACTTCTCATTTTTTGTGAAAAATGGGGCATGCAGAGAGTTTGAGAGGCCTGCAAAGTGGTCCTGGGGGCTGGGTGGGGCAAAAACAAGCAAAAATGGCCCATTTTTGTGAAAATGGGCCCGTTTTTGCCAAAAAAAAAAAGGGGGGGGCACGCATAGCCTTTTGGGAGGCTTGTAGAATGTTCCTGGGGGCTGGAGCAAAAAATGAGCAAAAAAAATGGCACATTTTCCGCTTGTTTTTGCCCTTTCCAGCCCCCAGGAGCACTTTGCAGGCCTCCCAAACCTCTGCACATCCATTTTTGTGAAAGGGGTGAGGTTTCGGGAGGCCAAAAATGCTGTACTCAGTGTGTAAAACACACCCAGATTATCGCCCTCTTTTTTGGGGGAAAAAGGTCCATCTTATACTCCGAAAAATACGGTAGCTATCCAAATTGTAAGTTAGAAGGGATTTCTGGGGTAATCTAGCACAACCATTCTTTCTGTGCAGGATCTGCTAAACCATTTCAAAAGAGTGACCTGCCAATTTTTGTGAAAGAGAACATAGCACTTCAAGAGGTCACCTGAACATGGCCCAAGTAGGACCCTGTAATTTCCCACCTGTTGCTGACCTATGATTCCAGCATTCCTAACCATTAATCATACTTGCCAGGCTGTTAAGAGTGTAGTTCAGCAATCATAGGGGCTCCTGTTATAGGATATTTTTTAAAGAGCTGGCAATTAGAACAATAAAAACTTCTGGATGAGCAAAGACTTTTTAAGTCATTGATTTATCTGTTCCAATGTGGACATTGGGGATTCACTGCTTTTCCTTTAGTCAAGAAAATGGAAGACAGGAAAATTGCAAAACGACTTCTCGAAATGGAAACTGGCCAGATCACTGTGACTTGTGCTTTAGCAGGCTCCTATTTCAGGAACACAAGCTTAATTCCTACAATCTTCGGGCCAAGCAATAAATTCATCTTTTGTGTTGTTTTCTGCCAAAGCAAATATTGTAAAGCCTTTCATCTCAGGCAGGAGAAATAACATATTTTCCACATTTTATTTGGCAAATTAAAAGAATACATGATGGGGCTTGCAACACAATTAGCAGCAGGACAGAAAGGTGAGTGGCAGAAACGGGAGTGGTCCTTTATGAGAAGGTATGAAGAGCTGAACATCCTGGCATTGGGGCCAATCAAAAAACAGGACAGACCAGAGGAAATGTTTTCTCACACAATGCATTGTTCAACTTTGGAATTCGCTACCATGAGACACAGTGCTGGCTACCAGGCTCACTGGCTTCAAAAGGGTTGTTTTATTTTATAGAGGTCATGGGAATTAGTGGCTGTTGGCCCAGATGGAAGTGAGACTATGAACTAGTGGGCTGTTTTGGACGGTTGGCCAGTGGAAAATAGCCATCTGGACTAGACGGGTGTAGGGTCTGAGTCCCCTTCGGGGAAAAGGGCGGCATATAAAAACAATTCAATTCAATTCAATCAGGGCACAGCTTATTTTTCACATTAAAAAAGGGTGAGGTTTTGACCGCATTGTTATCACCAACATCTTGAATTCTTTGACACACTTTCCTTTTGCAGAAATCCCTGCAGATAGTACACACTTGTTATATTTTAAGTTTAGGAAAAGTGGGTGAAATTAACCAAAGAATTTGTTCTGAGCTGACCATAGTGTCATCAGGGTTAGTGGGAAAAAAAAGAAAAGATAAATGTAAATTTTATTTGATGCAATTACAGATGGCAAATCCTATGTCTATTTCCCCTTCAAATCAAGGTTTGCTATGATTGCATTAGCTTCTTAAGAGGCTCCAAGTACATGGTTATACAAGAAGCAGAATTCGATGAAGCCAGAATTAGAAATTACTAGCAATGCACCCTATCATTCCTGGGAAGTATTTTTTTTTTATTTCTGGGGGGGGGGAAACAGATTTGAAAAAGGGGAGGAGGAGGCAGTAAGAAAGAGGGAAAATTGGGCCCCCGGTCCTTGAATCTTTTTTTTTTTTAAGGGTTTTGAAAATGGATGACATAGTAGGCACTGTTCCAGAAGCAGATTCTGACAATGAGTGTTTTGTTTGAATTTTGAAGCAAAGATTTTCCATGTGTTCTGCATCGTGTTTAGACATCATGGGGTAAATTTCACGATTTATACCAAAAAAAAAGGCTGATGCTTTGCCATACTGTTTAAAGTTTATGTATTTGTTTTATATGCCATAATACATGCCTTATATTAGGCCCGCGCCATTCTTTTTAAGTATATTAAAATACTTGGCCCGCTACATTTGGAGAAGGTAAAAAAAATGCAACAGACATGATAAGAAAGCCTATAGACAAAACTCAGATTTTTAATTTTCTTCCCCAGTTTGGGGATCCCTCCCACCTTTCACTATTAAGACATCTTGCCTCTTTCAAGACTGAGTTCACTTACTTGCCTACTTCAAAAAAGTGCACATTTTTTATTCACAATTCAAATTGGACGAGTCTGTCAAAATAGTCAAAACTTTGCCCTTTATATGTGATTTTTCCATTATTATTTCTTTGAGGACCAGATGGTTTACATCCCAGCGTTCTGAAGAAGCTAGCAGATCTCTTTCAAAGTCTGGTTCTGAGATAACATAATTTTTCAAAGATCCTGCTGCACCAGGGAACTATCAGAACACTGGAAAAATAAAACAGAAAGAAAACACAGAATATTATCAAATATGGAATTTATTTTACTAATGTTGGCAAAGAGGGATGGAGAGTAAGAATTGCACTTGTATTATTACGCAAATTAAATACTCAGACAACACAATGTTTATTAAGCACTAAATAATGTAACTAATAATAAATGAATAAAATTGATTTAAAAATATAAAATAAAAACACTGGAAAAGAGCTGGTGTGATTCAAATCTTCAAAAAGGGAAAAAAATGATTCAGGGAAACTACACCCCAATCAAGCCTGAAATCAACACCTGGGAAAATCCTGGAAAAGATAATCAAGCAGAATATTTGTGAATACTTAGAAATAAGTGGTTACTAGAAACCAGCATGAGTTTATTAAAACAAAT